TTTGGGTCCCACAACAAACTTCGATCACGATACATTTCAATAAAAGAAATTGTCTGTTCATCACTCCAATTCATCATGAATTAATGATAAACTTATTTAATAAAATTAAAATCAAATAAATGCACTCAGCAAAACAAAAAAAAAAACAAAATAAAAATGTTTTCCTCAAAAATCAGTTTTTGTTAACTTATAATTAATTTAATAACACTACACACGTCGACACGTCGACACGTCTACACTACTGTTGTCGATTCGATTCTCTTTGATCCATACCGACTTGATTCGGTTTGCGTTCGACTCGACTCGACATGTTTTGACAATGCCGGGCGACACGTACACATTTGGTCGATCGTGCTGATCGACACCATTCGGAATAGTGTGGACGCGGCTTTAGATTTAGTCAAAGAGAAAAGAACATTGCTAAATAATTTAAGATCAAGACGATGGCATATGATAGGCTACACGTTAAGACATAATGAAGAACTCCATAGTCTCATACTGGAAGGTATGATAGAAGAGAAACGCGGAAGAGGCAGGCCAAGAACATGTTACATAAGTCAAATAATTAAAGATGCAAGAGTCGATTCGTACAAACAACTCAAAGACAAAGCACAAGACAGAGAATCATGGAGAGAACATTTATTGTAGACCAATCTACGGATTGAATACTAAAAAATAAAAAAATACATCACAAAATACCTACAGAATTTTTCACTAAAACTATTTTCAAAGTTGTTCACATAATAAAAAATAATAATAATAACATCATTATAAAACCAATTCATTCAATAGAGACCCAAATTATCACCCAAAATAATGTCTAAAGAATAATGTATTTGATAATTTATATTTTTAATTTGATTAGAAATTTCAATATTTTCTAAATAATTTAATTCAGAAATTAATTTTTTAAAGGTCTGAACATTTCTAAATTCATTTGTATCGTATGTTTATGTAATAATACTAAATATATAAAATCAAATGAGAATGCCTGTTCTGAGAGAATACATAGAATAGAAAAATATAAAGCACCAAGTTTTTGACTACCAGCATGAGATCCTAAAGGACATTGACAAAAGAAAATTGGAAAAATTATTTTTTTGGAATTCATAGAAAGTTTACTTTCTCATACCTTAGATCGAATAAAATTCGATATTAAATTATAATTATTTTTAGAAGTTAAATTATTATAATAATACATGATTAGATTAAAGAAATTTGAATGTTCTATAATTTTTTTGAGTATGTCTCATATAGATATAAAATATATACTGACATATTTAGATTCCAAAACAACTGTCCATTACTTAATTTATCGTTCACCTTATGTCCAATAATAATTGGACTTGGGCGTATTAAAATATTAATTTTGTTTAGTTTTTAATCTTAAATATCCAGTCTCAATGTTTTCAAAAAGATTAAGCATATTATTAAACATTTCAGTTATAATATTATTTTATTATTATAACTTTTAAGAGTTAATATTATCAATAACTTTACATTAGAATCACCATTATTAGATGTTGTTGAAGAAACTTTAGAAAAGAAAATATCATTTTGTGATTTAAGATGCCTTTTAAATGCATTTGAATTGCTTAAAGTATGGTAACAATTAGGTTCTTTGTATTTAAATTCAGTTATATTATTTAGATCATGAAAAATTCTAAATGAGAAATTAAAAAGAGCTGATACTGGGGATGAAAGCGGCCACTGTTATAGGTGAGAAGTTGAGAAGGTAGGATACATAAGGTTATTTCATTTATATCTGTAAGCAACGATAAACCATTGTTTGATGAAAAACGATTCCGAACGCAGTACAGTAATACATAATTTCCGCGATTTTCATTTAAATTTGATTTCAGAACGCTAATAAAAAAAAAAAAAAGTCGTCCAACGATTTTGGACATTTTACCACGTAAGACCAATATAATTATTATTACTAAGTTTCAAGTCTCTATGTATAATTATAACCGAATAATAGCAAAAAACTTCCAAAAATTAAAATTCCATAAAAGCTCAAAGCTTTTGGCGATAATATCTTAAGAGAGTAAATTAAAAAGGCAAAAAAAAAGTTAATTTGTGATTTTGCGATGAGAAAACGTCGTTTGTGTTTTTATAAAGTAATGAAATCGTGAAATTTTATGTTTTTCTATGTTTTTTCCCCACTTAAGTGCTTTTATTTATAAAACGGCGTTGAAAATCAAAAAAAAAATAACCTCTCTACCATCTAGACTACTTGAGCTTTCAGAAAAGTTGCTACCCGTAAAAATCGAAGCAAGTTTACTGAAAAAAAACGTGTCACAGACTAGATCAATGAAAAAAAAAAAGAAATAAACATCTTAGTAAAATTAATAGTTTCCTCACTACACTCAAAATCTAAAATTTGATTCTCTGGGTGGTACTTTAAAGAGGTCATTTTTTGAAATTCTCATTAATATTCGATATAATGAGGAAAACCTCGGTCTTTAGGTTGAAAAAAGGGTTACATAGAAACTCCTACAAAAGTGACCTCTTTACCTGAATTTAAAATATAGTGTAAACTACTACATAATCTCTTTTTACCTGCCAAAAATAGATGGTGTAATCTTCTATACAGATCTTTTTAAATTTTAGATTCAGAGTGTAGAGAGGAATGTATATTGGTTTTACAGTGTTGTTTATTTGGGATAGTTGTATTTAAGTGGAATACAACGTACGATTTTATGATTTCATTATTTTAAATAAACACACACTACATTTCATACTAGAAATAGTTCTTTAATGGAAAAATGATAAGAGACATTTTTCGTTGCATTTAAATTCGTAGAGACTTACAAATGTAAGATATTTAAATGTAAAATAAAATTTAGTAAACATATTAATATAAGGTATCGTATTGGAAGTTCTCGAATATTTCGATAATGTCTACGTTATTTCCATAAATTGATAATACAATAATAATCTCTATCTCTTATTTTTGTAGTTTGTGACTGATTTTTAATTAATTTACTTTTTACAACTTTACAACTATCTAGTGTAGGAGTTAACAGCACCTGTTTTAGGAATTAACACTATGTCAATATAAGAGATTACCTACTTTTGTAAGAGTTTACAATATCCCTCTAAAAATGATTGAAAAATTAAAAATAGAATTGTCATGAAAACGCACATTGTTATAATCATTTTACCAGGATTATGTGGCCCAAGAACTTGATCGTGGAGGACATCATACTTCAACATACACGCTACCATTAATTTGTCAAACATTAAAACGGTAAGATTTTCATGAAATTTTAAATTATGAACATTAATGTTTATTATTCTTAGAACAGTATGAAGGATTGCCTATTGTTTTAGCCCATCTTTGAAGAGACGACAACCCTTAAACATTAAAAATCAAATGTAAATAATTTAAAATTTATATATACATATGGAAAGTAATATTTATGGATTTATCCACCTGGAAAAGTATAATGGAGTTAAATCTTAACATAGATGTATACATATTTGTTTAAATATCTTAAAGTAAAAGCTTGAGATATTTCATCCTTCGACCAATCGACTCATTTCGTTTTTTTCATTATTATGTCCAGTTGATTAGATGAAAAATTGAAGACAAACATTGTTTTACTATTGTTTCAATAGTTTTTTCTTTCGTTTGAAATATCACTTTTACTTCTTCAGACATTTAATTTTATGTTTGTTTTAATAACAAATTAGTTTTATTTAAACTATTATTCTTCAATTGAATGTGCAATTATTTGATTATGATTCGTACAATTATTTATGCAGTATTACAATGGTATAAAATGTCATACAAAATATATAATTGGAAATACAGTATTTAAATTACTAATTTAACAAAATAACAATTATCATATTAACATTTTATATTTTTTTTCAAGAAATAATATGTACACAAATTAATTTAGAAATTATTTGAAAACAATTGAAAACCTTATAGGGACATTATTTGCTTTATTTTTTTTTATAATATATATATATATATAAATCTTGTTTTATAATAATATAAATAACTGATGAAAATATCTCAGTATTATAAATATTTTTATTTTAATATAAATTATTAGGTATTACTCGTAACATATTATAATTATTTACCTGTTTTAATAATTTTGCCTCGTTTTATTTTTTCGATTTGAAGCAGAAAATGATGGTCTACTATCACAAGAGAAATTCAAATAAGAAACAACTCCTGGTAGTAGTCTTCTTTTATGTTTGCAACCGAGAAGCATATCTTTAAAGTTATGAACAGAATCTTAAGAATTAAAATTAATTGAACAAATAAATGTGCTGGAATTCCATGAATCAGTTTTTTTGTATTTCCTAACCCAATGTCTTTGCACATCAGTATCTTTCGGAAACCTTTTAATAAATTATTAATATTAATTAATATATCAAATATAACATATAGTGTAAATTTCTACTAATGTGCAAGTCGATTTATGTTTATAGGTAGTAAAAATTATGATCAATATTTTTTTTATAAATACTTACCGATGAAACGAAATATTATTCCCTTTGTTTTTCATTTTCCCGGTATAATTTTTACAAGTAACCATAGTACACACTGATCCACCTTTGGATACCAGAATACGCCATTGAACACCAAGAGATAGAAAGAAAATTTAAAATAAAAAACAGAGGTCAATTAACCAAAATAATGAAAAATCGATTAAAAAATTTGATTAACAAAACTTTCAGTAGTTACTATATAGCATTGATGTACTTATGTATAGATGTTAATGACTTTTGTAAAGTAAAATGTTTTTTGTAAAAAACGATAAACGTTAAAAACAATAAATAATTGCTAACGAAAAAAACAATTTTGAGCAGAGTTCAGTTAATAGTGGTGCTTTGTCAACAATATCTATGTCATATTATTATGAAATAATTAAATAGGTATTATATTTTTTCTTTAATAATATTTGTTTAATATTGTATACATTTTCCCGTTTTTCACATTTCATAGGGAAACTCTCTGGAAAATTGGAAAATTACCTCCCTAAAGTACCTACTCAGGCAGATTTCTTTTTAGTAGAAGTACTATCATTGTAAATTGGAGCAAAATTGCTGGTAAAAAATATGTACAAAGAAAAAAAAATCGTAATATTTTACTTATATATTTCCTACATTTTCCCGTCGTTTTCGGTTTTCCACATTTGTTGAGAATACTCCTCAGAAAATCGAAAAATTACCTCCCTAAAGTACCACCCCAAAAAAATTTCCTTTCAGAAAAGAATCTACATCGTATACATTGGAGTACCTACTTTCGTAATTTTTTCTGTTTTTCCTCCGTTTCTCCTTCGGTTTTTCACATTTATTGAGAAAACTTCTGAGAAAATCGAAAAATGACCTCTTTAAAGTACCTTCCCAGTTCCTAGTCAGATTTCCTTTTAGAATCTAAAATAATCAATGCAAACAACGAGAAAAATGCGTATAGTCTGTATTGCAGTAGTGTACGCCGTATGGCAGCTGTACGACAATAGCGTCACTGAATCATTATTCCCACTACTACTTTTGAAAATTTCGGAATGCTAACCTACAAAATTCCAGATAATACCGATAAATGATAAAAGCCTAAAACCGTATATTCTAAATCCATATTACCTATTTAAATACTAAATTAATATTACTTCAATATATCTGAGACCTTTGGCCCTAAAATTTCTTGGGCCACATAATCAAATGGTACGTGGCATTACTTCAACTTGAAAACAACTTGTCACGATTGATTTTTACACAAAAATGTTAAATCAATATTGTTTAATATTATTCAAGAACTTAATCAAATAGGATATACAGTTATTTGTTGTATTTGTGATTACGGTAGTGGTTGTGGAACGAACTTAGGAATTAACTATGAACAATCTGTGTTCCATATTCCTAGTGGAAGAAAAATTGTTTGTATTCCAGAACCACCTCATCTATTAAAACTTACTCGTAATTGGTTGTTGGATAAAGGTTTCTACTTATATGATACAGTAATTACCAAAAACCACTGAAACCATTAGTTTCACTAATGTCAGCAGAATTTAGTGTGTGTTACAAATTAAGTTCAGATCATTTTACATGTGAAAAATTACTAAGACAAAAGGTGAAACTGGCAAATCAACTTTTGTCACATACAACAGCAACAGCATTGAAGCATTACAAGCTTATTTAAAACATAAAATTCAATGATGATACAGCTAATTTTATTGAGTTGATAATTAATTGGTTTGATCTGGTAAATGTATATCAACCAAATAATAACCATCACCGTTTAAAGCACAATATGGTACATTTTTGGAGGAACAAGATTCACTTTTTAATGAAGTATACAATACAATTTTTACTATGAGGTTTAAGGGTAAAAACTGTCTTCAAATGTATCAAAAAGGGATACATTTTAATATATATTAATGGAACTCGGTACCTTCTTAAAATTTTAAAAGAATACGATCTGAATTACTTATTAACAAGTAAAATTAATCATGCATTAGTATACTTTAATATGCTTTATAGAATTTATTTTCACAGGTCAGATCTAGAGGAGGGTTAAATGATCATCCTACCCCATCAAATGTATTATATAGATTGAGGATGAGAGTTTTGGGAAAAAATCCTGTCATTATTTGTAATTCAAATACATATGACAAGAATAACGAGGAATTTTTACTGTCAAAAGTATTAAGAAAAGCAGAGATAATCATAAATGACGAGGAAAAATGTGTAAGTGATACAAATGATAGTAGTGATAATGAAACATTAAATACATCAAATAAACGCAAAGAACAATACCAGAATTAAATAACAAAAGATGCAGTAGAATATTTAACGGGTTGGGTAGCCAAAAATACAGAAAAAAGTATTCCGAACTTGGATCAACGACTACTATTAGGTAAAACTTGTCATGATTATACATTACCAATATGGGTGCAACATTTATCTTATGGCGGATTAATAGTTCCTAGCAATGATTTCAAGAAGTTAATAATACGTTGGGAAAAATTATTTATAAAATTGACGAAAGGACAAATTCCTAAAGGATAGTATATTGTTAAACAATTAACAAATAAAATGTATAATAGAGTGATAGCAAATGAGAAATATAAAATTCCAATTCAAAGTTATATAAAACAGAGAATAATCATACTCATGAAATATTTTAATCAATATTTAATTTCAATGCAAACAAATAAAAATTTTAAAATGAGATTACAAAGACTAAATAAGTTAAGAAAAAACAATTATATAATTAAGCATAGATGTTCAAATTATTTTAAAATATTTAAAATATTATGTATATAATTTTTTTATTGTGTTTGTTAAAAAAGAGTTTATTTACTTGTTTGTTAATAACTTTATATAACTAAATTAGAAATTAAAAAAAAAAAAACTCTAATACCTTCAATGTTTGAGAATTATTGTCATTTTAAAAAAAAGACACCAATCATCAATACACCTTGATATGACCCATAAAGTAATATTACTCTATGGCATAATTTTTTTTAATTTTTATCAGATTCATTATTATCAATTGTTATCAATATCGGGAGTACTCTACCCGAAAAGTTGTCTAAGCTGTACCCTACCCCTTTCTAACAATTAATTATAATATTTTTAATTTTACACCTGGTAATACTGCTAAGAGTGTCGGCTTTGTTAAGAGCTAAACAATTTCTATGGTAACATGATTTGGTTATTGACTATATAACCATACGTAACCATAACTTAACATAAGTTAAAAAGAAACTTTTTATTTGTTTCCGCCGTATTTATATCTACGGTTTGTTTCTCAAATAAATTTTCAGGTTTGAATAATCATAAAAAATCATGATTGATAATGGTAAGAGTATAATATAAATCGTCATCATCCGGTCCTTACGAAAATCTGTATGCCATTAATTTTCAACTGTATTTCATAATTCCAGACTTCCAGTGATTTATTTTCTTTACTAAGTTTGTTATTTCACCATATTTATTATTTATTAAGATTTTATTTGCATACCTACCTATCTGTATAATCAAAATCGTCAAAGCACAATACATTTTTTTTTTTACAAAATAGTTAAGTTACTTATGTAATTATACATATATTACATTCAATTAGGTTTATGATATAATTTATTAAATACCTATGTTTAATTCATGATTTTGGTCTATTTTTTTTTAGAATGAATACCATAGAGTTAAACTATGGTTCTACGATACCTATTGAGTCAATAAAGGTGATCGCTGAAAGTATAGGTATTTCTGCACTGTCCGATGAATCTGCTAAGGAATTATCCGATTCCGCTACTTACCGTCTAAAATTAGTATTACAAGTAAATATTAAGATTATTTAGGTACCTTTCTATGCTACAAGTAGTGCATTTTTAAATTTAAAGTTTTGGGTGTCGTAAACTTTTGATAATATTATTAACATTTTTACACAATATAATTATGGCATAAAATTTATGTTTTATAATAATAAAAACGAAAACACATTAATTTCTTTTGTTTATACAAACTATAATAATCAAAGTGGTTCCCTGATCTAAATAATTTAGAAAATTTAATTTTATAAAAATAATCACAATATTGTACCCATAAATTAAAAACCAATAAACCTAATGTTCACTTTGTTAGTATAACCAATGTAATATTAACAATGTTTATTTTAGGAAAGCAAAAAATTCATGATGCACTCAAAGAGATGTAAATTACTGATTTCAGATATTGACAATGCATTAAAAGCATTTGGTATAGAAGTAAGTAACATATCACTATACCTTCAGCTATCTTAAGCTTTAAAGGTCATTAAAGCATAATTTCATAATATTTACTTTTAAAATCTGGAGATCTTGGTTTAGCCTATGGTCTTTTCCTTTTGGAAAGAGGATTTATTTTCTCATTATTCAATCTCCAAAGAAGTCCTAGCCAACTCATTATTTTAAAAGCAACTTTTATTTATTTAATTATGTCATTTTCTTTGAATAGCTCTTTTATTTTGGAATTTCATATTCACTGTTTGTTAATTTTTCTCTGATCCAAATATGCACCAAATAAATTTTCTTAGTTTTTCTTTCAATTATCGTAAGCCACAGTTTTTTCACTCTCACTGGTAAATTAACTTTATGGTTTTTATACCTGGTTTGTTGTACAAAAATATCCCTACATCTGTATAAACTATTAATACACGTTATTATTCTTTCTCATTGAAACTAACATAATTTGTTTCTTGGACTTTTCTGATCAATCGATTTTCAAATCTTATTCTTCTCCTCAATCCATTGGAACTCTTAACTATTCTAATTAGCTTTAGTGTACAGACATTTTCCATACTTTTCGTGGTTTCCTTTCAGTGGAATCTTACACCTGATTGAAATCTATAAATAGTAAGTGTAGGTATAAGTAAGAGTTGTTTATTGTATTTTTACTGTGTTTCTATTAATTGCCTTAGAAATAACATGAACACATAAACAATTATACATTTCCCTGATTTGAAACAGCACTGGTATTCTAATATTTCAATCACATAAGGACAAAACATATTTATATTATTATTTGTTTTCATTAAAATAATTGTCTAATAATGTTTTAATAAATTATCCACCTATAATATTATTTTTTAAATTTTTGATTTCATGTATAAAGCAATTTTTTCAATGAATTTCTGAGTTTATTTTATCTTGTTAGAAATATTTAATGAATTTAGTATTGACCTACTGCCAATGTACCAAATTATATTTCTTTAGTTATTTTCTATCCAATTGTTATTACTAATTATTGAACAAGATAAATGTTGCTATTTAAAAGTCCATCAAACAAATATATCCTTGGTTTTTCAGAATTACTTTTTACCAAAACATCATTGTTTAATTTCTCTATCATTAACTTTTGGCTTGATGGAACTAGCTATTTTGTACATTTATTGAAGTTATAAACTACTTCATTATATACTGATAGATGCTATTTTTATTAAATAAAATGTAATAAGTAATATTTATTTTTCAGCCTGTTTTTGGTTTTCACTCTAAACAACATTTGCCATTTAAATATGCATCTGGTGGTGGCCGAGAACTGCATTACACTGATGACAAAGATATTGATCTTATTGAATTTGTAAATAAACCTTTAGCTAAGTTGCCTTTGGATATAAGCATTCACTGTCAGTGAAAAATAAGTCATACAAGGGCTGAATAAAAATATTTGATTGTATTTTTCTTTAATAAGGTCATTGGCTTGCCATTGATGGAATTCAACCAAATATCCCAGAAAATCCTTCTCCTATATCCAGAGATATACAAAAACAAGAATGTGTGAATCCTATAGTAAACTTAAAAAAACCTACAATCACCAAAGAGATTCCTAAACGATCAATTATTGTGTAAAAACTATACAGTAATAATTATCAGAGAAAAATATATTTTTATATTTTTGTTTCCAATAGAAATCCTCAAAAATGGTCTAGTACTGAAACTGTTTATGTGAAAGAGTTGGCAACACACGAGTTGTCAGTTGAACAACAACTTTATTATAAAGAAATTACAGAAGCTTGTGTTGGATCTGATGAAACTCGCCGTGCTGTATGTATTTATAATATATCTTTTATTTTTTGGCCAAACTGAATTTTTCTAAAAAGTAATTTTCTCTAGTTGGTGCATTGGAGAAATAATTTAATGATTTTCCAAGGAGTTTTATTATATTAACACAATGTTTTTACCAAAAATATTGTTGCAATGCAAAAATGACAAAAGATAAATTTTGTTTCTTATAATATTTCGCCACTGAAAGAGAAAGTCATTTTTTATTATCCAAAATATTTTTCATAATAATTGGGAAAACCCAAAAAAGAAAAAAGTTGTTTTTCAAATTACAGCACAACAGTTTCATTATTTTAAATTTTATGGCTTATGTTTTCTACCATATAAATATGAGTATTAATTATAAAGCCATATAAATATTGCTCCAATTAAAAACCATCAAGAAATATTTTTGAATTTGTTATCTAGTTTTTGTTATTAATTGAGTAAAACTGAAAATAATGCAGAAAGTACAGGGAAATTATACAAAAATAATTATTTTATTATTTTAATGTAACTCAGGTTGAAATATTCATAGACATTTAAAATGTCCCCATCAATTTATATTTACTTTTTATAGACATGGTAAAATTTTCAGAACATTTGAGCAATTTTTGAGTTATTAATAAACATTTTAATTTTGTGAGCTTTTATATAGGTAATTTTTATTTGTGGTAAAAAAAAAAATTGAGCTTTTTATAGAATTTTTTTTTGAAAGCAATATAATGTATGTATGGAATGTATGTTAAAACATGTGTAACCAAACTTGGCTTGTTCTCTTTTGTTAATAGTTTATCATTGATTACAGATATAAATTAAATAATTTGATGTATCCCACAAATTAAAAGAGGAACTTAATTAATTTTAAGCATAGATACGGGGTGATTAAGAAATTTATCTTACTTTTATGTATTCTTATAAAACTTATACCAATGCATTGCATATTTCTGGTAATATATTGGAAATTATTTATTTAGACACTTTAAATAAATACATGAGACACTAGTTAGGTTAGGTTAGGTTTCACTGGTATTGAATCAATGAAGTTAATATCTTGTTTACATACCTTATGACTAGTGTTTGAAACTTATTGTACTAAAAATTCACAAAGAGCACTTATAAAAATCAAAAAAAGTCTTGAAAAAAAGTGCTTCAAACAAATATTATTAGACCAAATGGTAGAAGGGTTTAAATGTCCCCTGTCTTACAACTCTAAATTATTAAATATAATTTTCCAACAAAACAAATTTTAAACAAATTAAAAAAAATAACTTTAGGTTAGGGTTTGGGGGAGGGAATTTAAACCCCTCTACTATTTGGTCTAATAACAAAAGACTCATAAAATCATTTTCCTTTTTAAGATCTCTAATTTGAGTTCTGATGAATATCTCTCATTAAATTTAGTTGAACCACTCTTAAAAAAAATGTTTTTAAGATACTGAAGTCCTTCAAAATTTATCTTACACTTTATTTACCATATGTGCTTGTGATATCATACTAACAGACTTTATTAATTTATGGATATAAGGGTATTATATTAAACTAGCTGACTATATTTTGCTATCGACATATTACAATAGTGTAAATAAGAGTAATAATAATAATAATAATAGTTATTTATTGGTATAGATGGTATCTATGGTATAGATAACATTATATTTTAAAAATATTCAGGTATATTTATACAATAATAGGTATCAAAACCATATACAATACATAGTATAATGTCTATTTATAGAATAAAATGCAAAACACATTTGAAATCGGCAAAAAAAAAATTTAGTAGCTTCAATTCGAATAATCTCTAATGAAATTTTATTGTAGACCAGTTATTAATTTAAGTTGTTATTTGATAACCAAAAGTAGCTTATTTCACCCTCAAAAAATAAGGGTAATATAAGATTTTAGAACTATTAGTTTCTTAAATTGTTATAACCAAACAATTCTTAAAAAATCTATACATTCCTAAACATTGCAATGAGTATAATTTTGTGAAAAAAACCAGAATTTGGTGTTGACAATTTTTTATAGGAAGCTCTACAGAGTTTAGCAACTGACCCTGGCCTTTATGACATGCTACCCCGATTGTCTTCATTCATTGCAGAAGGAGTGAAAATAAATGTTGCACAAAGTAATTTGGCTTTACTTATATATTTAATGAGAATGGTAAAAGCATTATTGGAGAATTCAGCGCTTTATTTGGAAAAATATGTAAGTTGTATGATTTAAATTATAATTTAAAAATGAATAATTATATTTTAATTACTGTAGATTTATCATATAAATAATTTATATGAATATGGGTACCATGTGTTGTGTACTTAAAATATGTTTTTAAAATCTATATCTAAATTCACACAAAAAATTACTCATATTACATAATTTAATTTATTATTATTATTAATAATAATATAGTTATATTTTATTTTAGTTACACGAAATCATTCCTTCAGTTTCAACATGCATTGTGAGCAAACAATTATGTATGAGACCAGAAATTGACAACCATTGGGCTTTACGTGATTTTGCATCACGTTTAATGGCACAAATTTGTAAAATGTTTACTACATCCACAAATCAAATACAAACTCGTATTACTAGAGTATTTACAAGTGCTATATATTCAGATGACACTCCACTTTCATCGATCTATGGTGCGATTGAAGGTACCTCGATAGCATTCTAGTTCTTGTACTTTAAATTGATACAATTTTTTTTGTCTATAATTTAGGACTTTCTGAGTTAGGAATAGAACCAATAAAATTGTTTGTTATTCCTTCAGTTCGTGTGATATCTGAAAAACTTGATTCTCCAGAATTATCACAGAATAATATTGATCGTATATCCATAAATCAAATTAAAAATCTCCTTTGTGTAATCTTTCTTAACAATTGTTTAAAAAATAATATTTATAATGTTTAAATTTGTATATTATTTTAGAAAGTTTTAATTCCTGCATTGAAAACAACACACCAACTACCAGAAAATGTAGAAGAATATAAAAAAGAATTTGGATCTATTGGTGTAACATTATTTGCTGCTGTATGGAAAGCACGTCCTTCAAGTTCAAGCAATCAAACTGTGACACAAACAAGTAAAATATTAAAAATAATATTTATATTAATTTACTATTTTAGATTCTGAACCAAGTGATGAATGTATTGGTTTTACTATGACAAGTACTTATATGTTTTTATTTTTTCTATCTGTAAAAAACTTTTCTACCAGAAATCTTACTCCAATCATAATATGACAAAAGACCTTTTTCATTGTATTTTGGCTCTAGTTGATACTTTCGAAAAGTTATTTATTGAAATTCTCATGAATATTTGAAATTATGAAAAATAGTTTTTTTTTTTAAGTTAAAAAAGATTAAGAGATTAAAAATAAGGTTGTCATTGGTAAACAGTTTTATTTATTTTTTGTTATTACTAAGTGGTATTATTTTAATCTTGATCTTTTTTTAAATACTTGTTATAGTGAAACCACTCATTGTTGAAAAAGCAATACTATTTACCTAGCTCGACTGAGAATTGTTTTTTGTTAGCAATGATTAATCATTGTGTACAGATATAAATTAAATTTGCCTCTATACCCTATCTTTCCAACTTCTCACCTATGGCAGTGGTCCATTTGTGGTGCAAAGTATGTCCGTCCAATTTTTAGTTTATTTTTGTATAGGTACACAAAGTGAAACAGTTATTGGTCGACCAGTTGGTGCATCATTAAATAACTCTGGAATTTCTCAAAAATATATTCTCATGTCTCAACTAAAGTATCAAACAAGTAAATAATTTTTACTTTTTATACAGAATTTGTAATAAGAATTTTTTTACAAAACCCACTAATTATTAAAATTATTCATTACCCTCAAAATATTAGATCTGAATATCAAGATCCTTTAATAATTAAATATCAAATTGTAGACATTGTTTTATGTAAATACAATATTATCCAACTAATATTAATATTATTATTATTATGAAATTATAAATATATTTTTATTTACTTGAATTTTCTTTTAAATCTACTTTAAGTAGGGAACATATTTGATTTTTTTTATATTTTTAGTTATTTTATTTTTATTCAGTCTTATTATTTATTAATTTATTAGATATTGGCTTAGTTATTTTTATTAGGGCTAGGGACTTATGCCCTAAAATACCTTACAATATGCATGCAATATTACTCTATGCATTTATTAAATACACAAAAAAAATTTAATGCCTACTAAAAATTTTTTATTTTCTCATTAAAAAATAAAAAAATGTATTTATTATTCTTTCTTAAAGCTATTTTTTTAAATTAAAAAAATAATAATATAAAATTCAATCATAAATGCTTATTGTATTTGTGATTTAATAATTATTTAACTATTATCCAATTGAAAAATTGCTGTTCCTATTTTATTTATTTTTTTTGTAGATTCGATATTTTTGTAAGCCATATTGGCTAATATTATATTTGTGTTTTAATATCAAATAAATATAAAAATTGGATAAAACATATGGTAAATCCTTATTTTATGATTTGAAAATTTCATGAAATATATACTCACTTTCAAAATTGTATTCCAATTTTAAGAAAAATTATAATAAATATTGTATATGTGAAAAATGCACTTAATATACAAATATAAAACAATATCAACTTAAATGGAAAAAAAAAGAGCTAAAATAAAATAAAATTTCTGTCCTACTTATAATTTGTCTGATTATTGAAAAACGTGTAAACTCCATAAGTTCCTAGCCCTAATTATGATTATTAGACCATGATATATTTTTATTAATATGTTTTTTTTTTTTTGTTTTTTATGGTTTTAATAATATGACATAATAATAATTGTTTGATTTCATTTTAATCAGATATACACAATTGTGTGCCTCTAGTTTTTTTTTTTTTAATTGGTAATTAATTTTGATTCGTAATATTAAAGATATTATTTGTATGTAATATCAGATATTAAAACTTATTCTATGACTAATGAAAAAAAGTGAATTAATGTATTATTCTATATTTTTATGCCAAGTTTCACCAAATATTTACACAGAAATAAACTCATTTATCCAGAGTTAAATTATAGGCCCATTAATTACAATGTAAAAATGTATGTATATTTAAATTTCATTAACTATTTGTATATAAACGATATGGATGATTTATTAAAATATTACCTACTGCCTACCGAGCTTAAAACTATTTACCTATAATATAGCTATAATACTATGTTTAACAAATTGAATCTATATTCAACATAGTATTTAACAGAATAACTAATAAAATATTATATATATTTATATTATATAACTTTTTTTTGCCGTATCTACTTGACAGTGGAATATTTTAAAATCACATACTTTGGCTGGTAAAAAAGTTCTTGAGAGAGCAATTACAACTCGATGGTTTGCTCGACATAACGCATATGACAGTCTATATAACAACTGGAATTGAGTTATGAAAAGTTTATGTACGTTGGAAGAATATTTTACTAAAAAGGCATCAATTCGTTGCGAAGCATTTGGTTAAAATAACAACTTGATCGTTTCGAAACAGTATTTATGACTATATTTTAGAATTTAATTTTGAAACGTTTTAATAGTAAGAGCTTCAGAAAGTAAACATCGACTTGAAGAAAGTAATTACTCTTTATTTAATCAATCTTTAATAGATTTTATTACGTTAATTATAAATTACGAGTTATTTATTGGAAATATAAATTTAGCTAAACATTTAAAAACTAAAAAAAATATGAGTTATTACTTTATTATTATATTGTAGATCAGATGGAAATATCAAAAAGGAAGTTAAATTAAATGTAGGAGAAAAGTTTAAAGTTTTACAATTTTAGACCTACTAAAAAGTGAACTAGAAAAAAAAGATGTGCTGCTTACAAAAATATTTTTTTCAAGTATAACTTTTTGATTACTTTAATTCATTAATTCAAAAAACACATTCATCAGAAGCAATTACGAAAAAAGCTAATGAATTTTAACAATTCTGTAACGATGATTTAGAAAAATCATTTTATTTTTAATGTCTTCATTTTAAGGCTTACCTTTAAAATATTTTAGTTAAAAAAGAAAATAATTTTGAGTTCATTGAATTATAACTACTAATTCGCAGTCGTAATGTTGACATTGCAATTACTAACGGTTCTTCCGAGCGAAAATTGTCTACATTGAAACATATCAAGATTTTTCAGCTCAGAAGTCACGCCGAAACCTATTGAGTGTGAAGATAATAATAATAATAATAATAATAACTTAAACGTTCTTAAAAAAATGTATTATTAGTATAGCATTTCTTTTTTACTGTCACACATTTTAGTATACCTATATCGCTTTTTATACTATACATTTTATTCATCCATCTTGCATTAATATTATGTTTTTATTTCATATTTATAGTTTATAATATTTCAAAAACATATCAATAACATTTACCATTTACCAATGTACTTAATTTTTATAATTTTAATACTATATTATAATTTGATGGTTACAAAAATAGTAAAAGTTCTTATCAAAATATAAAATAAAATAATTTATTTATATAGGTACTTAAAAAGGTGACAATTTTTTTTGTGCTTACAGCGGCACAGTCAGAGACATACGGGGGTTATTGAATATAGGGGTTTTTGAACAATTTAATGTTATGCCCACACATAATTTTACGTTTATGCATTTATTTTTAAATCGTGTGACTAAAAAATTCAGATATGACTGAGTACTTGGTATTTAGTAAAAAAAATAATTAAAGACATAAATACAACGGGGCGTTCGTTATTTAAGAAAGATTAATATATTTTTTACTAGTCTAAATACTATATCACGTGTGAGAATATAAAAATTCACACGCCGGTGCATTTGGCGACATCGACCTCGCAACGACGTAGTTGCAGACAATCCAATTTATTGTTTAACAGAATTCTTATTTTCAAAATTGTATAACCTACAAATTATAATTCATTGACCCAGGCGCTAAGACGTCATCTATTATAAAAAATAACTGTTCTTTTAGCGTCTCGAACGGTTGAGTCGCTCAAGAAATATTTTTAAAAACTCACTCTGTCGAGAGCCATACACATAATCAGTACCTATCACCAATCTCTTGAAGATCTCTCTCTAATGGTTAGCTCCGACTTAAAGCAGCTATATTCACTCTTATTTGATTTTTTTATTAATTTATGTTACAATTCAAACTTTTGTTCTCCTAATTTAAAGATTAGCATCTTTTATTTGAGTGCACACTGGTGCAAAGTGTTAACTAATTTAGTTTATTTCAATTGAATTGTGACTGCTGTTCAACAACTCCGGGATCACGTGAGAATATCTACAAGTATACACACTAGCGTTCCAATACCGTGGGCAGGTAAAATTATTATACTTTTCTTTATTTATTGATCGCGTCACCATTTTTGGACTGAGGAATTCGTATCCCTCCGAACGGCAGGAGGAAGGTAGTGAAACAAATCCCAGATTAAACATAGAAATCAAAATAGTTCACCCTGTTCATTTTAAACATTACTACATTTATTATCATAAAATCCACCCCTTAATTTTAAAAAAATTATAATGAAAAGACTAATGAGATATAGGGTCTATCACGATGGCATTAAAAGATATCCATACATGGCCATGTTTGACACTGATGTGAAAATTGGTTTGTCATCATTTTTACTACCAGCTGAAGTAGTGGAAAAATTAACCACTGAACAAGAATTGGAAGAAATATTGCAAAGTGTCGTGTCAGACTATAAATAAAGAGACAATCATAATGTTTCCGAAAAAGAGGTACATTGTTGGCAATATATAGTCGTTATACTAGGTTTAATCACTTTTACTTTTTTTCTTAACAGGACAGTACTGTATCTAGTTGCTCGTGTGTCTGTAATGGACAAATATCTATTTGTGGTTTATGTGATGAAAATGTAATTATTACAAAACTAGTTTTATTTAGGAAAAAATGTTAATTATATATATTAAAAATGTTTCAGAACACCAGAGAAAATGAGAGAAGCAATTCAAAATTATTGCTTGAGCAACAAGCAAAAAAATGAAGTTCAAATCCATTAACAAATTCCCACCATGCAATGTTGGCGACACAGTTCGAGTCAAACTACCAGAAGTAGACAGAAGTAAAGTTGATCCACAGAATGTACTCTTTGCGGTTGTGTCTATTAGTGATAATCAATATTACGAACTCGGTAATAAAAATGACACTCTTCATCAACTTTATTCCGGAAATCAATTTACTGTATGTTCTAAACCATTAATAGATATATTAGAAGTTTTAGCCACAAAAAAATCGTTGCTTGAAATAGCTAATGTAAAATCTTTTTCCGGTGATCAAGGTTTTAAGAAGTGTTTATGTAAAACTAAATGCTTAACAAATAAATGTAAATGCAAATCCGGGGGAATACTTTGTAATTCTAAATGTCATCCAAACTCAAATTGTTCTAATAAATAATTTTATTAAATTTATACCTGATAAAACTGATTCGAATATGATAAATTTTATTGACTTGATAAACCTACCGATTCTTCTACACGACCACTCAAATTTGTTTTCAATAACAGTGACTATTGCTGCTGCCCCCATCCTCAATTAATTTTTCACTAGACGAAGGATATTATCTTCACTAATCTTCAACAACTTCACATCATCAGTGTGACTACTATACGGCCAATGTACATAATTTATTTAATCATGTAAACTTTTTTAATACACTCCTTAAATGTAGACTTTTACCTACCTATCATTATAATTATGTTTTTCTTATGTAAGGTGCCTATGTTTGGAAAAATCAGTCTTTTAGAATAACGTTGCCTGGGGTATAACATGTAGTAGATAATTATAATGGTTACATGATTTAAATTTATTTGTATAGCAATTTCAAGGGTTTACTTTAGAGTTGATTTTATCGAATATATTGTAGTATTTTTGTTTTATTTTGTTATATATATATATATATATATATATATATATATATACATAGGTACTTTGGATTACTTAGGTGTACATAAATATTCAGTACCACTATTAAACTACCAATTAGAAATGTGTGAATATTTCAAAAAAATAAGCTTTAACTTAGTAATAATTTTTCAATGATAATTAACACATTAATTATCAATATTTCAGCTAGAATATGATCAGACTTCCATAATGTAAAATGTTACAATAATTCGGGTGAGATCAAATAAAATAAAGAATATTAAATAACATCATATTCAGACATCAGAAAAAAAAAATGAATTAAAACTAAATAAACATTTTATGAGATATGATATGTTGGGCCGAAGACTTCTCGACTTAATATTTGCTTTTGTGAAAGTTTTTATATACCTACTTAAATTTCCACTTATTTAAATAATATTAGTATTTAAATATATGTTTTATCAATTTTGTATAACATGACATGGAATCAATAAACAACAACTTTTAGTATGCAACAACATTCATAACTTTAAATTTATTTATTATTTTAATTTTTTCTTAATTTTAGAGAAAAGTCAATATTTACTTTTAAATAAAAATAAAATAAAATCTAGAAGCCTTTAACCCTTATTATGATAAACATAATACTTAATTGTGTATACAATGTGAACATTATATTGTTTTTACACGTTTTTTCTTAGTAAACTGGCTCCCATTTTTACGTGTAGCAACTTTTCTGAAAGCTCAAGTTGTCTAGATGGTATTTTAAAGTGGTCATTTTTTGATTTTCGACTCCATTTTTTAAATAAAACCACTTAAATGAGAAAAAACGTACAATTTCACGATTTTATTATTTTATAAAAACACGAACGACGTTTTCTACCAGAATAAATGATTTAATCAAAAAATCACTTTTATTAGGGAAAGTGATTTAATCGAAAAATGACAAGAAACCATTTTTGTTTTGTTGTACATTTAGTTTCTTAAGGTGCAAAGCGTTTATTGATTTCATAATGATTCGGAAAAACCAGAAGAAGATAAAGTTGTAATTCAGTATAAAAATATTTATAGTGACTTGAAAAATGGACAGAATGCACACATTTAGTAATCAAATTTAAACGAAAGTCACAACAAAAAAAAAAAAAAAAAACGGCACTTTAAATTATGTATTACCGAACTGCGTCAGAATTGTCTTTCGTCAGCAATGGTTTATCGTTGCTTACAATTATAAATGAAATAATCGTATATATCCTACTTTCCCAACTTCTCACCTACAACAGTGACCCCTCTGCAATTGAGTGTACTATTTACTTAGCGCGGGTACGATCGCGACGCATGCGTAGAATGTAGATAATAAAAATCGATTTAGGTAGTTCATGGGACGGTATACTCTCCACCGCAAGGGTTCAGTATTTCTTCTACTGCCAAACGACTTGGTCATTGATGATGATGATGATGCTGATGATTTTTGGTAGTCGCCAGGATTGTTGGCAATTATCACGGGTTCAGTAGTCGGTACGCAATCACAGTCGGGTACATTCACGGCGTTGTTAAAATTGAATAATGCAATTTTTAATTGATCATATTTCGTTTATAGGTACTAAAACTACTGAAACGTAGAACGACGGGAACGACAATAGAAGTTAAAGTGAAGAAGATTGACAGTGGTCAAGTTCATTACAACGACAACTGAAAAAAGATACAGGTAATAATTGTTAGATTTTATTGCAAACTAGGTTACCACCCTCTTACATACATTATGTAATTTTCTTATAGCCAATGTGGATCCACCATGCTTACAATCATATTATTTTTATTCTCACATCACCGTAATTGCAAATACTGCAGATAGCCAATAGGTACATAAAAATATCTTAATAAATCTGTTATTGTAAATTAAAACCATTTTTGGTGGTATTAAAATATTAAATCGCCATTTAAATCGATGACTTCGATACCCCCTGCAGAGTACGCTGTAATCGCCGGCGGCGTCATTGATCCACTCACCCCGTCCAAGCTGTTTGGCAATATGACGATATACCCTAATCTAACCTAGCAAAGTCCCAGTGAAAATTCTCGATTTCACATCCGTCGTGTATGTAGTATAGTCTATAGGTAGTAGGTCCATACTAGAGATGGACAATATCAATAATTTAGAATTCGATGATCGATACTCATTTTATTTGTACACTAACTCCTATTTATTACAGTTATTAGTTATTTTATTAATAATATTTATTTGATTTAAACATGGAGACATAATGTATTGACAAGAGTCGCCATTAGTGGGACATTGCGTCTGCTGTCTCTACGGTTTTCGCGGCACTGCCTACAAAGTTGATTAGTTTAGATCTACTTCAAAACCTAAATGTTTTTTTTTTCATCAAAATATGAAACTATTGATAAGCTACTGAAAAAAATATATATGTTATATAATAAAATTACCAATTGAAAGGTACAGATGAATAGATCAGAAATTAATGAAAATAATAATAAAACAAACTGAAAATTATTTAATACACACTTTCAAATTGCATTCACTATTTGTACTAAGACAATTTAAGGCCCCGAGTCATATTATAATATTGTACAGAAAATATCCATGGAACAAAATATTTTGAATACGAAAATTCAGTCCACGTAAACTATCCGAAAATAATTCGTCAGAATAGCATTCTAGCTTAAAATGTATTCCAAAAACATAATGTCGGAAACATATTTGATCAGAACCGTATTAAATAAAAAAAAAATATTTTGTCAGTATGTATTTTTAAAAAAAATATATTCTCTGAACGTATTTTACTAGGAAATATCTCTCTCTCTCTCTTTCTTTCTTGGTTGCAATCCTAAAATTAGTTTGCAGTTAATTTCCATTCATCTCTCCTATCCACTTTCCGTTTCATTTGCACATATGAATTACCTTCCTCTATGATTTTTTCCTTCCCCATATCCTCTTATTATTAATTTTAATAACCCTTCTTGCCGAATTGTTTGTCTTATCCATTTACTCCGTCTTTTTACTATACTTTTCCATAGTAGTTTTCCTTCCAACATTCTTTCAAGAACCTCCTTATTAGTTATTTTGTCTATCCAGCTTATTTTCAACATCCTCCTATAGCCCCACATTTCAAATGGTTCCAGTCTCCTTTGTTCTTCCATTGATATTGTCCAGGTCTCGCACCCATATAGGACTATACTCCATACATATGTCTTCAATAAGTTTTTTCTAATTTCGAGACTAATGTTCTTTGAAGTGATTAGGATTTTTTTACTGTTCAAAGCTATTTTGGCTTGGCAAATACGTTTTACAATTTTACGATAATTACGTCAATCTTTGGTTTTTGTACTTTTTAGGTACACAAATTTATTTACTTGATTTATCCTTTGATCTCCTTTGATCTCTGATTTATTTTCATTTTCATATCGTTGTTAAATGTTTCATCTATGATTCTGATTAGTTCCTGTAAATTGTTCTCATTTTCAGCAATTATTGCTATGGCGTCGGCATAACGTAACATATTTACTATCTAACCGTTAATTTTTATGCCTAAATTGGTGTCTTCCTTTATCTTATCAATTGCTTCTTGGGTATACGCATTAAATATGATTCAAGAGGAAATATATGTCCATCCAAAAATAATTTATCGAAAATGTAATTTCTCCGAAAATATATGAGTTAAAAACGTTTTGTACGAACCAGTGTTGGATCCAGACTATGTTATAGTGCACCTACCCAGTACACAATTATTATTATTTTATTGTGTGGTCTACACAATATTTATTTTCGATTAAAATAATTTGCCTAATCTTTGCCTTTATACTTATCTTCTGATTTATTTGCTAAATATTAATTGTACTGTATATAGGATAGCAGGATAGTCGGATTTTCAATTTTTTTCTGGGATACATCACGAAAAATCATGTGTATTTAAAAGATATCTAGAAAAATATGCCTCTGTTTTGTAGATAAGAATAGGAATATAGATAATTAATATTTTACACAATCAGTTCGGCTGAGTTCTTCTTGTGTCGTTGTGTTTATCTAATTATGTGATTTATTGAATATGTTGCCGACTAAATTTTAAATGAAATTATCGATAACGAAATAACTACCATTGCAACAACCACCGTATGTATATATATACATTATAATATGATACATGAAATTTATTCTATTATTCTGTATTTATTATGTGTAAGTCACACATTGTAATAAAGCCTTTATTTTAATTAACTTTTTCATTTATTATTTAATATATGCATACGTAAAATAGGGTTATTTTAGGTATATTTGGTATGGATATCTAATTGCTTATTTATTTATTTTTGTTTATCCAAGGGTCGTTGATGTTACAGAAAAGAATACTATTATAATTATTATCATTACTGTTATTTACACTATAAAATTTCACAATAAAACACATTTAGTCAAAGGTGGACAACCAACTTTCCACATATTTGTTTTCATTTAATTTTAACACTTCAATAATAAAAATTGGTACGGGCAACCCCGGGCACAGAACAGCTGGTTTTTTATAAAAGAAAATTAGTTTGTTTTTTTAAGTTTTTTTTTTAATGACTTAAATATTATAATTTTATTTTCAGTTTTTATTCTAAAAGATGGATCAATTATTGGAGCGTTGTCAACAACATTTTTTCACTGAAGATCTGTACAAGGTGTTAAAAATGCAACCGCAAAGTACAACCAGAGAAGGTATTGGTATCGTGTGATTTCATAATTACAGTTGTATTAGATATTGCAAATTATTTAATCATTACTCTTGTTTTGTTTAGTTTATGAAGCGTATGTTAAGTTGTTTTTTAAATATAAGTTTAGCAAAATGTCCGAAGTAGAAAAACATTATAGAAGGGAAAAATTTAAAGTAATCAGAGAAGCGTTCTATTTTATTATCGACCAAAAGAAAAGGAAAATGTATGATGCCAGTGGTAAGCTTTGTATTAAACAAATTTTTGTACTAATAGGTAATTCCAAACATATAATTTTTGAACTATAAAGTTATAAGATAGAAACTAAATAAGTTTCTGAGTGAAATACAATGAAAATGTAATATGTTAGTTAACTGTTGTCTGTTAATGAAAAATTTAGTGATTATTTAATCATATAGTATAAAAATACTTATAAATTATAAATGCAAACTCTCGATTATCAGACTGGACGCAAGTCATAAAAAAATATATTTATTTTGAAAAACTGTAATTTTAATCAATTAATCAATAGTGACATACCTATAACCACAGTGTAATGTGCACATTTTTTGATAAACACAGTAACTTATCAAAATATTTGATGCCTTTTAAACCATATTCTGAAATGTTAAATCTCATTAAATTTAAACGTTTTTATGAGGTGCAGATTGCATTTTATGAGGTCGATATTTGTGTGTTATACAGGTATTTTACAAACACTCATTTAAAATATAATATCATGTAATTTCGTATTTGTTATTATATTGAATATTTTCTTATTATTTGGTCCTTAATTCAAACACACAATAGATTAAATGTATTTGAAATATAACGTTTTTATCAGATAACCATGAATATTCTGGAATTTCAGTTTTTCTATTATATAATGAATTCATTAGTTACTAAATCAATTTTATTTATTATTGGATTTTTTTTGTTTTATCATAATCAATAAAGTTAAAATATATATTTTTTTAACCACTATTCATTTGTAGTACATGTCTTTTATGCATTATAAACAATTCTATATTAACAAAAAGTAGAAATGAGAGAGTTTATAAAAATGTAATTTGATGCAAATTCAAAAAAAAAACATCCTTGACATTAAAGATATTTTAAAATACTTTAAAAATTATGTTACTAAATAAAATCAGACAAATTACAATATCCAATGATTTTGGTATATTTTATTAAATTTTTATCTTCAAGTCTCCATAATTTTTGTTATTCCAAACAGAAAAAATGTTTATAGTATATATTTGTAAAAGAAAATGGAATGACTAAAATGTGTTATGTGTGATCTGTAATTGAAATATGGAATCAAATTTTACATTTTTTTTTTTCCTTTTTGATATATAATAAATTAGACCATATCGTGTATAAATGCACGTATCAAAATTTCTGCAAATTAATGAAATTTTTTTTTATAGTTACATTTTTATGGTCAATTTGGTATAAATTGATACTAAATTTTTATATTTAAAATATAACGTTTAAAGTTTCGGTACGACTATTCTATTTGTAGTCGTGTATCTAGTTATAGTATATAATTTTACTGAGCATTGTCAAAGTCCAAGATATTTTTGTTTTTTTGCAAATTTTTGAAAAACGAGTACATATTTTTGCATAACATTTGAAAAAATTTGTAGAGCCTATTTTAATGCATATGTCATCAATTTTAGTGCATAATTTATAGACTTTTAGAGCATCCAATTTAATAATTATACTTAATGTTATTTAGAATGGTTATATGTGTAATTAGTTAAATTTTCACATTCTCCAGACTACATTTATTATTAATACATTTCCCACATTATTTTTCATTGCCATTCCCTTACACTCAACGTAATGCTTTCTCTGCTTTAACAAATTCTTCTAATCTCCCTTTCAATGCACATTCAATTCGTTCTTCATAGCTTCCGCCTATTATCTTATTTATTAAATCATACATTAATCTGACTGTTTTTGTAATCTAATGCTCAAAAAATACAACACACATGGATAAATTAAATTTTATTAATTAGTTTTTATAAGTGTCCTGCTTCGGCCGTCACCCAAATTACAAACAGGGAGTTTTTAATAAGAAAATACGAAATAAAATAATTATAATATGGCATACTACACGAATAACTGATATTTAGACATTGTGTGTTCCATTATCATTCAGTTTACGTAAAAAATTATACATTTAACTTATAATAATTTAAAACAATAGTTTCAAAATTGTTAGTGATTTATTTTGTAAATATTATTCCAATAGTCATCAGCCGCCAGCTAAAAAAAAAACATTCCACCTGGCAGGAAAGAGAACAACCTACCAGCTCGCAGCCAAAAGAACAACCTACCGACGAATCAGCAAATAGATCCGGAATGAGATTAGTATCACTCGGTAACCTTCGATCAATCGCCTTGGAGCAAACCATAGACTTTGATGAAAATACAAGATATTTGGAAGATTTAATGCGCCATATGCGCATTATCGGTAATGTATTGTATAAATTTGAGGTTATTAGGGCTGAAATATATCGTCGTCCAAGACGTAGTATTCCTAAATATTCTGAAGATTAATAAACCATTAAGCATAACTCTTAGAAAAAAAGAAAAAAAACACAAAAGAAGTAGTAATAGAAAAAAAAACTAGTAATTAAATTATTGTTTTCCACTTCAAACATGATGATCCAAAGCAGCTATTCTAAATTTTGAAATTGATACAATTGTATATTATTCACATGTAATCTTGTGATCTTGTCCTCCGTAGACACGCCTATGCCCGAAATATCTATCATTTATTTATGTTTTGTTTAGGTTTATAAGGGAACCGACTGATATTTAGCTGACCTAAGTCCACCAAACGATTCTCCTTACTGCCATAATGGCCAGTTGAAACGTTTTTTTTAAGCTCTTATGAAACTGATATTTAGATTCTAGAAGACCCTATCTATTAAAACCATTAATTGTTGTACGTGCTAACAATTTTCAACGCGCATGGATAAAATACAATTTTTTATTAGCTTTTGATAAGTGTCCTGCTTCGGTTGTCATACATACTACAAACAGAGAGATTTTAATAATATAATGCAAAATAAAATAATTATAATAGAGCATACTATACGAATAACTGGTATTTAGACATTGTGTGTACCGTTATCATTCAGTTTACGTATAAAATTATGCATAAAAACTTATAATAATTTACAACAGCAATTTTAAAAATGTTTGTGATTAATTTTGTAAATACTCTTCCAACAGTCACCAGCCGCCATCCAAAAGAACAATCTACCGAAGGCATCCTGGAGTCATTACAATTATTAGAAGAACAATCAAGAAATAATTAAGTGTTAATGCGCGGCGTCGGTAGTATGTTGGTTCGCTTGAGGATTTGGACGCTGGTGCCGAAATGTATCGTCATCCAAGACGTAATATTTCAAAATATTCTGAAGATTAATAAACCTTTAAAAAAAAAAAAAACACTAAATTGAAGTAGTAGTAGAATAAATAATAAATAGAATAAAAACTAGTAAATAGAAGTATCTTAAATGTATAAATATGTGTTTCTTAATTAAGTATAATAATGAGAATATTATGTAATAGCATTGATTATATTGTATTCTATAATCAATAGTAGTAGGTACATTGATTATGTAGATAATACACAGTTATAATTCATATAGTTATAATTAACAGTGAAAAATGAACACGTTTTAGTATTTTACATATCTTTAAAATTGAATAATTATTATCTTTTCTATGTTAACACTTAATACGTAAATATTTTTAGAAATTATATTAATATTCTTTGTATGTCCTCTTAAGTTAATATCTATTTACTCATCAATAATATGAAAATAAATATAGAGAACAAATTGAAAACAATCACTTATCAAACCATAAAAAGAATAATATTATTTTATTTTGAATTATTTGTAATGGTTTATTTACCAACCATTATGATCGGCAAACGTGGATTGGCCTCTTATTCGTATTATAATTTGGCCTTTCAAGCAAAAATGTATACGTATTAACTCTAAATGTATACTTATGTGGATATGTATGTGTAGTGTGTACCTATTCTTATAATATAATGAATTGTAAACCCTAAACACTGAATATATTATTATTATTAATATGATAATACCTATTCAATGTAAACGGTTTTTATCAAAACATTCAGATAGTTGGAAAATAATTCTGACAAAATAATTACAGCTCCATTGACATGTTCATTATATGTATATTGTTTATATTACATTTGTTATCTGCATGTCTACGTAGTAAAAAATACATCATATTATACCTAGTCAAATTATTCCTTGCGTGCTCTCATTCAATCTACATTCCAGAAATACGAAATTCATAATATTGAATCCTAAATAAACAAACGGTAATAAGTTTGAATATTTTGAGTTTTTTATTTTAAATTATAATACTTTGTATATGTAAGGTGATAATATGTTTAGATAATACGTTTAGATTTTACTAGAAAAGTTGGGGAAAACTTGTTCATACTAAAACTATAAAAACAAGACTTATTTCAACTATTTCTCAGGACAGATTAAAAGCTTTCATTTTTAATACATTTTTTATACCGAATTACCGTAATTAATGACTTATACAACATAAGGGATAGTGTAAGTAAATAGAAAAGCTGGGAAATACAGGTTAATTTCATAGTAGGTATTAAAATAACATGAATGCTTTTAATCTGTCCTGAGAAATAGTTGAAATAAGTTTTGTGTTTTATAGTTTTAGTATGGACAATTTATAACCTTTCCATTTGATAAAAATACTTCTTTATTTTCATTATAAGGAGTAATCCAATTCGAAATTTTACCTTTTTAAGTTGATTTTATTTTAGGCATTACATCGAATACGTTCACTCTGCGGTCAAACTGATCAAAGAAATAGGTACTAAGGTACCAGCAGGTAAACGTACACGAATCGTTGTACTACTACGTTCAATTTAATTACTACCATATCTATGTATATGTATGGACTCACTGGGCTCTCCAAGCTTCTAGAAAATTTCAGACGAACGATAAACGTCTATAATTTAAAAACGTAGGAAAATTGCAAAACATTGCAAAAACGTCGAAAATTGAAAAAAATTGCATTATAAAATTTAATAGGCGGAATATTTTTAGAGTATATCGGCTATATATTTAATCAGATCTGATTTATCTTAATGGCAAAAAAAGTTGCAATATCTAATAAATCCGATCGTTAGTTATCGATATCATTATAGCCAAAATAATAATATTATAATATTATCTTACTTTTATTCATAGTATCATTAATTATATATACTAGTACTTAATTATAATCAATGGTGTTATTAACGATTGACAATAATAATAATTCGTGTAAACTATAAATTGGAAAAAAATTGTATTTAAATATAATAAAAATTAGTTTTATCTATCATATCGCTGTATCTTACCACTTGCGGGTGTTAATAAATATTATTATTGTTATTATTATATATTACCAACTATGGTAGTTTAGCAAGAGAACTAAGAATGGAAGATCCTATACATTTAAACAGTTTCATTAGAATTCCGACTGATGATTTTAAAATACTATGTTCATAAATTATTTTATAAAAAATATGAGAGATGCAATTGGCATCGGTAAACGGCTCAAGTTAACTATTGGTTTTATAGCTACAGGTAACTTATACTCTATTCCAATTGAGAGTACACCGAGCAGCGGATGAAACACGGACGTTTTCGAGCATGCTTTCCTACTCCAGATATGTATGATAGCAGATAGATGATGAAGCAGATGGTACTGCTTCATCGACTCATCCGCCTATCTATTGGTCCTACCACTGCTGACGGTTTTCTTACCACCGTCGATACAAATTGTATACGACATACGTAGCGAACCAAACATAATAACTGTTTTTTTTATTTTAACTGCCTTACCTTATACACGTAATTTCTCGTACAAACGCTCTGGTTTTTTAAAAGTATTCTTTTGAAAATAGTGTACCTATTTTTTTTTTGTCGATATGACTGACGAAAATACTGCTGTAGTTGTAACACCACCAAAGAAAAACCCTTGTGGAAAAGTAAGTAAATAATTAAAAATTCGATTTTTTTACATTTTATTAATTTATTCAAATTTGTTTTAGATCGTATCTATCGGCCAGAAACAAACGACAATAAACTTATACAAGACAAAGTTTGTTTAAATTCCAGGAGATACGATGCAAAAATACAGGCAAATTATATCCAAAAACTGGGAATAGGTGAGAAGACAGTTTCGAAAACTATTGTCGAATATAATAATAATAAAACAGTAATTTCACCATGTAAAAAAAGACGTCTTAGGACAATGTGGTAGGATGCAGCCACTGTTATAGGTATTTTAATGTATATCTATAAGAAACAATTGCTAACGAAAAAACGAATCTGAGCGCAGTTCAATTAATAGTGATGCTTTGCCAACAATATATATGTCATATTATGGTAAAATAATTAAATAGGCATTATATATTTTCTTAAACGTCTGATTGTTCTCTAAATTGGGTCTGTAGACGGCTTCCTGCCAGGTGGTTTACTATGTTTTGAATCGAAAAAAAATCTACCGATTATTACGATGACATGAACGGAGATACATTTTATGATTGAATGGAAAGTACTCGTATTTTACCACGTTTAAAAGAAAATTAATGTATTATTGTTATGGACAATTACTACTCTATTAAAGTCAACAAAATACCTACGTCTGCGACAAAGAAGACTGATATTATTCATTGGCTTGAAGGTAAAGGCCAAGCAATTGACAAACTCATGGTTATACCATAACTTTTGGCTATATTTAACCAAATAAAACCATTTCATGATAAATACAAAATTGACGAGCTTGCAAAAGAACATGGGCGCATATTTCTCAGACTACCTCCACACAATTGTGAACTTAACCCCGTTGAGCTGGCGTAATGTGTGACAAATTTCATATGCCACATAAAAGAGAAGAAAACAAATTTCGGAAAATTAATTTCATTGTTGATGAGATGGTCACCGCGGAAATTCAGTAAATAATTTTATAACTAATAATAAATATGGGTAAATTAATAACTCTATAAACCGCACGCGTTTTAAAATTTTCATATACAAATATTACACATTCTATAATGATGTATAATTTATTATTTATTTACTTATGTATTAAAAAAAAAATATTTAGGTACAATTTATTCATTGAAAAATTTAGAATATGAAACCACTAAAACATTAAAAACGACATGCATATCAAATTACGTTAACACGCGTTTCTGTCGATAACAACTGTGCTCGAAAAAAAAATTAATATGGGTTTGACCGTTTATCATTAATTTATTGTAAGTTTAAATGAAATATCTAACTAACGAACAATGGTTCGAGCATATTAACCTACAATAAGATATAAGCATTTATATTTAACAGATTATTTTAAAATTATAAATACAACGTGTGTCTATATATAAGACATTAATTTATATGTGCGGTATTCGGCTATACTAGCGGTTTCCATGAATAGTTGATTGCCATAATTCACCGATATGTATACTGAGTAAAATCCGGATAGGAAAATTTTATACAATTATCTAATTTTAGAATTTTAGATAATACGAAACGACGATAAATCGAAACGACCCTGACGACTCTGTCCGTTGTTTATTATGTTATAGAACATGCATTATCTTGTTTACCACATTTCACCATTTAATTTAGATTTGATAATCAAATTACTTTATTCTTTATTCTTTTATCAGTTAGTTGTGCGTATTTACGAAAGACCCAGTGTATTTTTACTGAAATGGAACAGTGGTTTAAAACAGACTCCATAAGACCTGAAAATCGTCAGCCAACAACTATTGCCGAGTCGAAGAAAAACAACAATGGTTGTTGTAAAATTAATTCCTTAGAATTACATTCGGAAAATGTTGTACATGGTTCTATTTTAGAATCTACGATACCTGATGTAGATATTCGGAAAGGAAGCAAAAAACGAAAATATTGCGTTTCATATTTAGATATGGGATTTACTGAATTTGCTGATGGACGTCCTCAGTGTGTGATATGTAACAAAGTTTTACCTAATAGCTCAATGTTCCCTGCTAAGCTTTAACGACATTTTGAAACACATCTAGACTTTATAAATAAAACTACAGACTGTTTTAAAAGAAAAAGTGATGGATGAGTCGCATGGAGTCCATGCCACAAAGCCTTTGTATCTCATGTAAAGACATATTCTGAAAAAGCACTGAATGCATCGTATTTAGTAAGTTATGAACTGGCAAACTACACACCCTCGCTGAAACTCTTATAAAACCACTAATAGTGAATGTAGTGAAGTGCACGGCGGACGAAAAAACTGCGATTTTGATCTCTAGTATACCTTTATCAAATAATACTGTGCGTACTCGGATTCAAAATTTATCACACGATGTTGAAGACACCATAATTTTTGGTATCAATCCAACAAAATGTTCGTGGAGAGTATACCGCCCTATGAACTACCTAAATCGATTTTTATTACCTATATCCTACGCGTGCGCCGCGATCGTAGCCGCGCTAAGTAAATAGTAAACTCAAATGCAGAGGGATTAAAAAAAAAAAAAAACCTAACTTAACAACGTTAATATTAGATTTTTTTGGACAATCTCTTAACTACAGAGAAAAACAAATACAATAAATAAGTATATAAATAAAAAAATGTATACAATAAAATATAATAAGTAAATGAATGAATGCTTCGCCTGAAGTAATATGATAAGTGTATTATTCAACCAATTTTCGAATTATAAATTCATTATCAATTGTATCACAGTCAAAATGTAAAAAGCTCCTTAGTAAATCCGAAACCGGTCGTATAATACATTTATCATAATGCTCCAGTCGATGCATTCAGTCATTTATTTAGTTTATTTGTATGTCTACATTTTTTATTGATATATTTTTTTACGTGTATTTAATATTTTAATAATTTTGTTTTTACTTTATTATTTTGTTATAAAAAAAAATATTTTATATTTGTGTGTTTAAATATGTTTATTTCATATTTTATATGTAAGAGTTTCAAACATTAACTCCATCAGTTCATTGTTTCGAGTTTTTTGATTAAAAAGATAATAAGTAGGGATGAAATAGGTATCTATCTATTTCATCCCTACATACAAAACAGTATTCAATGAAAATTTATTGAAAAACTTATATAATGAAGACGTTTTTGGTATATACGGTATACTTTTTCGGGATTTTCGTGTATGTACAAGTTTTAGTTCGATCCAAAATTCTTTTAAATTTGAAACGATTTTATTACTACCCGACATGATACTCGTAGGCATATCATGGTACAATAATATCAGTGTACTATAATTATCGATAAATCTGTATATAACAAAATATTTATTTTTTAGGAAAATAGGAAAAGGTAATATAAAGGTGAGACATTTATATTCTTGGTTGAGTACTTTTACTATTTTTCCTCCTTTTAGTGTTATTATATATCTTTAATCATAAAAAAAGTAGTATTATCATTCAACTTTTTTAGAATGTAAATACCTAGATAACTGAACTTAAAAAGTGACAATTATTTTATGAACATTAGAAATATGTACCTACCTAAGAGTTATAAAAACATAATTTATTAATTATTGTATTGTGAGAACAGCTGTTATGAACTAATACACGAGCTGTGTTAGGAACCACTGCATGCAAGTGCTGAACCAGCATGTATTTAAAATATATCTAAATACCCAAATCCGAGATAGAACACTACAACAATAATCAACAGACGGCTCGTAACAGCTCGCCGACAACTCAACCCAAGGTAAGACTAACCCAAAGAATGGCCGTCGGATCTAACCGCGGTTTCAACAAAATTGGTGTCAGGTGCGGGGTTAGTCTATAAATCTTTGGAAGACGGACCTATGGGCAATTCCGGGAAAGAAAGTGCTATCCAGACTGGACCAGCGATACCCGGGACCAGACTCCATTCCACTCATATTCCACCGATGTCATATTTAACATCTATCACGATAAATACGCCGAAAATGTGAGTGGCGTGTTAAAAACATTTTTCAAAAATTTATCTTACGATTTCATAAAAAAAAGTTGACCGTGGATAATGGGAACAAGTGCAGCCGCTATTCTAGGTGGAAAGTTGAGACCGTAGGATACAGAAGGAAATTAAATGTAAATCTTCGCTTATTATATAATTTCTTTAATAATATTTGTTTAATATTGTACCAATTTCCTCGTGTTTTGATCCGGTTTTTTTCCAGTTGCTAGGGAAAGCTCTTGGAAAAATTGAAAAATGACCTTCCCAGTCAGATTTCCTTTAGAAAAAGTGCTATCATTGTAATTTGGAGCAAAATTGTTAGTAGCAAATTTGTCTACAGAAAAAAAAATTCGTAATATTTTACTAATAAATTTTGTACATTTTACCGTTTTTTTTCATATTTTTGAAACTTAATCAGTTCGCTTAATTCTGACTTCACCATCGTTCTTAAATCGGCAATATACATTGATCAAAAAAAAAAAAAAAAAAATTGAAAAATTAGATTTTTTCCACATCATCTTTTATATATATATATATATATTTGACATAAATACTGTCAAATTATTGTACCGACATGAATGATTGTTTAGGTCGGTAGAGTTGTATGTTGACGAGTGCATAGGTGGTGCATGGACATATTAATAAAGGGACTGATAAAGAAACTCAACAATATTGAGAGAGAAGAATAGCGATAGCTAGAGGTGACCATGGATGAAATACTTTTAAATTTTTATTTCGCCATGAAATTGATCGTTATTATGTCCACTATAATAGATTAAATTAACCTGGTAAACTGATAAATAATTATTATTTCATGGTACGCCGGATTTAAATACTATGACTAGGCACATACGCAGGGGGGTGTTTTGGGTGTAGTAGTAATACAAAAAGGCGGAAAAATAAGGGGAGGATTTTATGATAATAAAGGTAATAATGTTTAAAATGAGCCGTGTTAATTAGTTTGATACCTATGTTAAATTTAATACTCAAGAAGTCAATACTCAAGAAGTGGCCTAATGAGTGCAAACTACAAAGTACGGAAATATTGTGTTAGTTTGAATTTTTTGTGTTACATTTAATGAAGCTACATTTAACAACAAAGTACATTTAATGCTCTGTTAACAGTAATATTAACATGATGTTCAAAGGAAAGAGTTGAAGAATAATAAATCTCAAAACCTTTAATAATTGAAACTCGTGGAAGACGAGAGTAGGAACTAGTAAGGTTATTTGTATCAAGTCTAAAAAATTGGTAATAAGTAAGACCGAGTTCGGATAGATGAATATCAGGGGAGAGCCAGGTTACAGTTTACATGATTAAATAAATTATGTACATTGGCCGTATAGTAGTCACACTGATGATGTGAAGTTGTTGAAGATTAGTGAAGATAATATCCTTCGTCTAGTGAAAAATTAATTGAGGATGGGGGCAGCAGCAATAGTCACTGTTATTGAAAACAAATTTGAGTGGTCGTGTAGAAGAATCGGTAGGTTTATCAAGTCAATAAAATTTATCATATTCGAATCAGTTTTATCAGGTATAAATTTAATAAAATTATTTATACATCAACAATGTAGATTTGTGATATCGATGAAACTCTATACTAAAAACCAATCATAAACAGATGATAGTTTCCTTTCATTTTTAAGTTAGGGTCTTATACAACAAATGGTATGTGAGTGCTATGCATTAAAAAACAACTTATTTTAAACGAATTAATAAATACATTATAAACATATAGAAATCAAAATCTAAATTATTTTCATAGTTACTCTATATGACATTAGCATTTTAGTTTTATCAACATCGCCATTCACATCATCAGTCACCACCAAATATATTTATTTAAAACCATTACAAAAAGATGATTTAATATTGTAAATTTTGTTGTCAAGTATGACTTCATAAACTCATAAAAATCGCTTTGTATTGAACTCCGATTAATATTAAATATTTTAAGTGTTGATGACTTGATAATATGGGACAGCTACAAACTACTGTAAAACCTGCCGAATTATTTTTTATGTCAATTGAGTTGTCTATATTATTCCTTACATTTTTTTTTTAGATCAGGCATAGAAAATAATACATATTAAACTGAACTAAAATTTCAAATGGTTTCTAAAAAAAATGTATGCTGTAAAGCAATTGCAAAATATATGTAAACAACATCCGGGGCCTATTTATAAAATAACAAGTCAAATTTTACCATAGGTAAGCTTGTACGTTTTATTTACTTGTACAATTTGTGTTTCATATAAATAATTATACAATAATATAACAAATATTTCGAAACAATATTTCGAATTATTTTTACCATTTCTTTATATTACTTAAATTATATTAATATTATTATTTGTTATTCATTCGTTTTGAACGGCAGAATAAATCCTAATAGAAATAATATAATAATAGATATACCTGCAACTATACCTGTGTTTAGTGAATAAGGATTACTTATCTTAAATACAATGTTATTATAACATTTGCATTACAAAATTTTAATGTATGTAACGTCCTAATAACATTTTACATGATAAGTACCAGGTGGTACAATTAAGTGGCTACACTCATTATCTCGGAAAGTATAAACTTTTTCCGAAATTTATTTTTTATAACATTTAAAAAAACAAGCAGCTCTATAATTATATATTTATGTTATTTTTAGTCACCCTTATTTTTGAGGGTAAAACCAAAAAATTTAGAATACATTAGAAATTTTAATGTAGTTAGCTATTTGTAAATCAAAAGTAGGTAGTGGTTTTACCTTCGAAAATAAGGGTGTAAAAAAATAACATAATTATTAAATTGTAGAGCAAATTGTTTCTCAAATGTTCAAGAAGATAAATTCTAGAAAAAGTTAATATTTTCTGAAACAATGAGTAGTGTACCCACTTAAATGAATCACTCGGTACCTATATTATTTATTTTTTTTTTTAAATTTGTACATTGTACTCGGTTTATTATTTCTGCCATCTTCGATACCATTATATTATTAACAATGCAGGTACCTATAATTATTAATTTAATATAAGTATGACCTAATTTTATATAAATGTTTATC